CACAGGCAGGCAGTCTGAGGAGCGAGAAGGAAAATGCCTTTAGGTGTGCTTTTTGAGAGGTACCTCTGACCCCATATGACCTCGAAAGCTCTAGGTAAGGCCTGATACCTGCAGCACTCTACCTCTGACCTTTAAATACACTGAACTGTAAAATAAAGTTGTTCTCTTTTCTCCCTAAAAGGAACCCAGAGACTCCAAGTGAAGCTCTCCCTAGGGTCATGTTCTTCTCTTCTAGGAACTCTAAGTGTTTGCTGAACTAATCACAGCAAGTGGCAATGACTGTGGGTGTGACTGATGCCTATACTTGGACCCTGAAGGACACCAGATAATTACAGGCACATAACAGATTGGGGGTGATACAAAAAGGAGCAAGCTTGGGGAACACACTGACTTGTGACCAATAAGTCCCCAAGATCATGGGATGCTCAGGACATGTGAGGACGCATTACGTGTCGTTGTTGGAGAATATGTTGAAACTAAGAGGAGAGTAAAAGCAGCTAAGGAGGATTTAGTTCAATGCTTAGATACTTAGTTGAATATAACCCTTGCTTCCCGGAAGAAGGAAATCTAGATCTTAAGAATTGACACCAGATAGGGCAACGATAAGACAAAAACACAAGTTGGAGTTCTTGATTTAGATTTTAGAGGAGAAGTTCTCATTATGGTCTCCACTAATTCAGTTATTGAAATCTCCTCAGGACAGACTTGAACAATGCTCAATTCTACCGTATCTATGAGGGAAAGACTCCCTCTAGTGTCCAAAAAGGTCAAAGTTTCGGATACTTTGGGGAAGTGTGGACCCAAAAGCTAAGGAAACATAGCCCCAAATTGGAAATATTAACAGGAAACAAATCTTTTAAAGATTATTGTGTCCGAGGGCTGTTGTAATAAAAATTAGTGATAAATGGTGGCCAGCTGCCTGACCACTGCAATTGTCTGTAGGGGCATCAGAGGAGTTGGCACACCTGGGCAAATTTATCAGAATACTCACTTCATTGCTTAATTGTTCTGATCGAGAATGACATGTGGGATCATTTATTCCTTATGTGATAGAAAAATTTACCAATATGTTTATGATGAAGAGATGTATTGTTCCCAACGAGGGTAACTTTAAGTTCTCATGCTCAAGTCATGATGATTTGGGAAGGAGCTAGGAAATTCAACAAGGCATTGTTTCACTAGTAGCTATGACAACTAGCTATGTTTCACTAGTAGCTATGACAACTAGTAGCTATGACCACTAGCTCAGAACAGCCCAGGGTTGATCTGTCGCGGGCTGCTTGGTTAGGGTAAGGGAGGTAGTGACTGACTTTCCTGGTAAACAGAAACCACAGTAAGAGATCCTGAGGAATGCTAAGTTTATTCCAAGAGCAATCCTGTCTACCTGGTCAGAGTCCTGCAGGAATTAGGCCCAGACTGTCATTTTAGGACATTGTCAGCAGCAGCTCCATTTTTAGGGGTTGCTTTGGATCCAACAATCATAAACCAATGGAATGATTGCTTTGGGATGTTCTGTATGGCAAATGTGTTGCTCTGATTGGTCAATAAATAAAACACTGATTGGCTCATGGCTAGGCAGGAAGTATAGGCAGGACTAACAGAGAGGAGAAAAGAAAGAACAGGAAGGCAGAAGGAGACACTGCCAGCCACTGCCAGGACAAGCAGCATGTGATGATGCTGGTAAGCCACGAGCCACGTGGCCAGGTATAGATTTGTAGAAATGGGTTAATTTAAGATATAAGAACAGTTAGCAAAAAGCCTGCCACAGCCATATAGTTTGTAAGCAATATAAGTCTCTGTGTTTACTTGGTTGGGTCTGAGCGGCTGTGGGACTGGCGGGTGACAAAGATTCGTCCTGACTGTGGGCCAGGCAGGAAAACTCTAGCTACAAATGATATTACAGGAAGATGTTGGCACAAGGAACACAAAATAGCCCTACACTGTGTCAGTTGTTTGTGGGTCAAAGCATTAAAACTGCTTTTCCTCAAGCTATCATTGTACATTATAGGGATGGCCTATTGTTAGGCACATCAGAACAGGCTTGTTAACATCAGCTTGTTCCTGTTTACAACATTGCCTTAGAAAGGATAACTTAGAAACTGCTCCTGAAAAGGTTCAGCTACATGCTTTTTATGATTACTTATGTACTACAGTAGAGTACCACATTAGTAAGCCTCAAGAATCAAAATTCAGTTTACTCAGTTACAAACTTTAAATGATTTTCAGATACTCTTGGGAGAGATAAGTTGGCTAAGACCTTATTTAAAGTTAAGTACTAAGCAATCAGTAGCATTGTTTGGTCTTTTAAAGGGAAATCCTACATAGCTCTCTCCTAGAGTTATTCCAGTGGCCAAATAACCCTCTTCCTCTAATAGGTTAATTGAATCCCTTCCTATAACTTCTCAGTTTTGCCCTAAAATAAATGATTTTATTTCTTAAAAGATTCCATCAGAGAATTTACTGACAGTAGCTCTAATAGACCAGTGTTGTAGCAATTTCCTCCAGGACTGAATCATTCCATCCTGTAGAAAAGGTCTTTAAGCAGGAAGGTAAAGTTTCCAGGAAGTATCTGAAACTGAGCAGTATTATCAGGTCCCTCTTCCCAAGAGTAAACAAGCCAAGCTGCAAAGAAGACTCTCAGTCAAGCCAAGCTTCGAAGACTCTGAGGCCAGACCAGCCGTCTTGAAGAAGCAGAAATCAGCTGAGTTGTCTGGAAGAGATTTAAACCAAATGGATCATTTGGACAGGACAGTCTCCATCTTGTTGGGTGCTTCAGGCTGTGTAGAGTTGTCCAGGATGTAGTAGAATATTATTTTAGGGTGTGTTACTTTTGTTTATGTTGCATTTGTTTAACTCTGTGAAGCTGTGTTACTGTGCCTGTGTAAAACACCTGATGGTCTAATACAGATCTGAATGGCCAATAGCAAGGCAGGAGAAAGGATAGGTGGGGTTGGCAGGCAGAGAGAATATATAGAGGGAGAAATCTGGGAGCTGGAGAAGGAAGAGGACTCCAGGGGCCAGCTACTCAGGTACACAGCAAGCCACGGAGTAGAAGTAAGAAG